CAAGTTTTTATTTCATTTGTATGTAATGCAATTATGGTGGAATAAATCATTATTTCATATTTCATTAATTCATACATTGCTAACCAAACTACCACGTGAAAGTGCTATCTGTCCACTAGTAACTGGCAGGATGATTCATTCACAGGTGGTTTACTTTTGCTTCTTCGTACATGACCTCGAATTGTAAAAAAAAAAACTATTATAGAATTGGCGGGGTTGCTAGTGGCAGAATATTTTTTTGGCGGGAATAGCAGCGGGTGGCGGCGCGAGTTGCTGTTTTGCCCCTACCGGGCGCCTGCAACACCGCGATACGTCCCACCACTCACACCTGTACGCGACCGAATTTCTCTACACAGCTCTTATGGACAGCGCGCAATCCAGTAGTAGTTATATATCGATGGGGCTGACCTTCCGACGCTGGGGACGTGGCAGGATACAGGACCAATGAATGTATTCATTGACAGGACAGAGGCGACTTTTGACCTGCGCGGTATCTGCGGGTAGAGACTTGAGCGAAAATTAAGGCGTGAAGAATACTGTAAATCTTAGAGGTTTTGGTGTCGACTTGTGTATTTAAGAATTGGGAATTTTATCACACTCTCTAAGACTATTTGGTACAATATTGGGGTAGCTAAAAAATACACTTTTACTAACTTTTTCCTATCTTAGGAAAAAACTATTAAAAGGTGCTCGACTGTTAAAATTACACAAAACGAATGAACCTACGGTAATAGTACTCATGGTAAGACCTGGACCCGGGACCGATTTAATTTTTCATTTTGAGATCTCTATATGGGAAATTCGCTAAAACGAATGAACCTAATCAGTTTAAATATTTCAAAAGACAGGAATGAATTGATATTGACGTCAAACACCATAAAGCATTGACTTCTCGTCCTATTGTACAATAATTTGAAGCCTGCGTTGGTGGGTACATGTTGATAGCGTAGACTGCGCATGTCATATAAATAAGACACAAAAACATAACATTTCTCAATTTCACTTTAAACCATTTTGAAGAACTTAAAAAATAATATTTTATGTTGGAGTGTTTTTTCCAGTTATTGATTGCGGATAGAATTAAAAAAACATTTTAAATTTTAACATTCCCACGTTATTTTTGTGGAGAATAATGTAGGCAATCTGTTGTGTTTACTGTACATGTTAATGCTTTTATTTCGAACTTCGCGAATTTATTTATTTTATACTAAGCTGCTATTACAATTTTGCAAAAAACACACTTTTATCACTCCCTGTAACAGCAAACATAGCTTACTTGTTAAATGTTAATGTTATTTAAATAGATTTAATTGAAAATCCAATCAGGTAATTCACTTCATCTGCAGGTTTTATCGGCGGGGTTATTATTATGTTTTGCTCAATACTGCGTATGAAGGAGTCTACATGGGTTGCGCGGGTGTTGGTGGTTGATGGCGTGTGGCGTGTAGCGTATTCACACGCATTCCCACACGTATGTCACGCACTCTCGAGTCCCGCTGCTTGCTGCTTCTCCGGTGTTTCAACGACGGTTGGTACACATGCGGAAACGAACCGAGCAAAGCCTTGTGTACACACGTAACAAGTCCGGGGTTTGGACCGTGTACTTACAAAATATTAAATACCCTCGCCATAGCAAACCTGCAGACTAAGCGAATTTCCATTTGCCCGAGTTGTTAATATACGCTGAAAATAACGATTCGTATTTATATTTATCCGAAAATAAATAGTTATGGAAACGGTTCTTAAATGTTATAAAGCCTAAGTCTAAGAATAATATGAGAATTTTACGTTTACAATATTATTTGAATTTTCTCCGGACCAATAACCGTACAAAAGTACACTTCAATAGACAAAATTTTTTTCTAAGCACTTCAAAATGGTTTAGAGATACATTGGGAAAATTTATGTTTTGAGGGTCAAAAATGAGAGAACCCAATTTTTACGCCATAAAACCCCCAATATTTCCCGTTCCGATGGTCCCATCACGCTGGTTCGCGAACTTGTTTGAATACATGTAGGTTTACACGTTTGTACAAAATTTTATCGAAATTGGATAATTTTCGCTCGAGTTATGATGCTAACGGACCCATATACTGTAGGATAGGCATAGATAAAACATAGCCTACTTAGTCTATGATATATAGGCAAATATATATATATTTGAACGGAGGGTGTTTTTGGCCTCTGGAGACATCAAAATGAAAAAGTAAATCAGACCCGGGTCCAGGTCTTACCATGAGACCTACGGTAATAGTTTATTATTCCCTATGGGAAATTCACTGAAATATTCAATGGCGTTGAAACACAAAAATCTGTGTTTTCGATGAAATTTGGTACAAACTTGTAAACTTACGTTTATTCTGACAAATTCGCAAATCAGCATCATCAGACCAAAAGAACAGAGTTAAATATGAGGGATTTCTGGCGTAAAAATAGGTTTTTCTCATTTTTTCCTCCTTAAAACATACAATTTCTCTCTTTTAAGCCATTTTCAAGAGCTTAAAAAACTAATACTGTAATTTGATATGGTGAAGTGTTGCTGTCCGGTTAGGGTTAGGGCTATTGGTTACTAACATTTTTTAGAAAATTATTGTAAACTTAAAATTCCGATGTTATTGTTCAATAAGTAAACTGAGTTGTGGTTTGCTTGTGGATATATTTTAAACAAACTTGTGGCAAATTTATTTATTTTACAATCAGCTATTAATATTCTACTAAAAAACACACTTTATTGCCCTTTCCGTAGAAGCAAACAGGTATTCATTAAAGCTGTTACTAAATCTAGATTTAAGTGAAAATCAAATCAGGCAAATACAAATTTGCTTAGTTTGCAGGTCTGCTGCGGTGGGGTTGGGGGGTATTAATGTTTTTCACTGTGTATTTTCTACGGGAAAAATAATTTATTCAGAAAGGTTTTTAGAAACATTTTATACTAAATGTATGAAGAAAGTTGTAAGTACGGTACTGAATTAAATAGAACCTAAGAGATTGTAACTAAATTAGATGCGACATGAGTAGTTTTAGATATTTTTTAGCTTCACAACAAAGCTAAGGTTGAATTAACTGCTTCCTTGATTGTAATATAGGCTACAGCAATTCTACATGTCAACCTCATCAAAAATACAACTTCGATAGTTTTCCCTACCTTAAATAAAAATATGAGGCACAAATACTCACTTACCATCTGCAGGGTTCCTATTTTAAACATGAGTAGACCCTTACCAACAGCTCAAAAACAAGAAAAATGGTACGCTAGAGGAAATACTTGTATAGTCCGAACCTACAGTTTTATCCAACATCATATTTTCAACAGATAAAAGAATGACTCATAGGTTAGTTAACAAATCAAAGTTAGAAAGTTAGATTAATTCTTATGATAAACAGGTCAGTATTGGACCAAGCATATAATTTAATGCACTGAGGGTTCAATGAAAGGTCCAGATTGGGGAATGAATGATTAGGCCTAAACTTATCCGATAAAAACAATAGGCCTACTGTGGGTGTGTGAGTACCTACTTTTCTTCATAAAAATGTGTGGGTTATAATTAATTTTAACAAAAGCAAACAATCATAAAAAGAAGTTAAAAAATTTAAAACATTCTCACTGAACACAAACAGACTAGAATTGGAATGTAATTTTTGAGGTAACTTAAGTTTTTATCTTCAAATGGGTAAAAGGCTAATTTAGATCATTTTTATTGTAGATTTTAAAACTAGGTATTTAGTAACTCTATAGTTCCGTAAGTTACATTGTTAACAATGAAACTTGAGTAGGTAACTGTTTTTTGTGAGTAACTTACATACATAATTTACACATACCGTACCTAGTTAGTAACTTATAAGTTTGCAACTTATAATGCGTAACAACTATTTTTCAATTTAAACATATTTTGGTAATTATTTACAATAGGGTAACGTGACCATGGGAACCTATTTATCTAAGTTACATTAATTTAAATATAGGTAGGCCTATCACCCGAAACTAGATTTTTTTCTAAAGTAAGAGTGCAAAGTTTTCTCCGAGCTCACAAACATTAAGTGACTGAATATTTCTTAAGTTAATGATACATAAGTATGGAAAACTGCTATCTTAGCGAGATGTTTGATTCCAAAGAGTAACAACAAAGTTCATAAAAAAAGCCATTAAGTTAATGTTTTTTTTTTTTTTTTTCAGTGTTATAAATTACATAAAATGTTAGGTAATAACATTGGGATCTTCAATCCGCTGGAGCAATAAGTAGCCTAAGTTTATAAACTCCACAGTTTCGTCCCTAAACAATTAACTTAATCTACTTAAAATCAATCAATATTATAGGTGTAAACCTACCACCTACCTACAATGAAAAACAATGTACAAAACCGAGCATTTTATTTAGGTTCTCAGACATGTATGGAAAACTGCTATCTTAGCGAGATGTTTTATTTCAAAGAGTAACAACAAAGTTCATAAAAAAAGCCATTAAGTTAATGTTTTTTTTTTCAGTGTTATAAATTACATAAAATGTGTAGGTAATAACATTGGGATCTTCAATCCGCTGGAGCAATAAGTTAAGTAGCCTAAGTTTATAAACCCCACAGTTTCGTCCCTAAACAATTAATCAATCAACATTATAGGTGTAAACCTACCACCTACCTAACTTACAATGAAAAACAATGTACAAAACCGAGCATTTTATTTAGGCTCTCAGTTAAATGTTTTGTTTTACTGTAATTCAAAATGCCACTGGCATGGACACTGAAAGGATACATTGTTGTACAAATGATCAAAAAAACTTATTGCACAAACAAATTTAAGCTGGCAAAGATTTTTGCAAAAGGCTTTCTTTTTAACGATCTGCTCCTGCTGGAATATCAAGTGAACTAACTTAATGCATGATATGCTGTACCCAATTAATGAAGTACAATTTGATGGGTTGCAGAAACATTCTATATACAAAAATCCTTATACAACCAGCCAAAGTTAGCTTTAAGTTAACTTAGGCTATCTCATAAAGACTTACCAGGCTATCTGATGATACATCGAGGTTCATTTTTCCTTCGGCATGTTTCCTGTAAGTAATCCAATACTAGGTAGGGCCTAATCCTCTAACACAACACACTGGAATGCAAACACTGTGTTTTCTCATTCACAACTCTGTTTCACAACCTAGCAACAAAGCTACACTTTCTATACTTGCTTTTTGAGGTTAAGATCACAAAAATGCCTTTTATAAAAAAATAGTCGTCATCTTAGGGAATAGAAACCGTGTTGATTTTTAAATTAGTTGCGTAAAAATACAATAATTTAACCGGAGCAAACATTCCCAATGAAAGAAAGTTTACACACATCCTGTAACAGTTGAATATTAAGGTTAGTGAACCCCATAGCGTTTTTACATAAATAGCTCGCACAAATTCACTTATTTAAGTTCTAAAACACTTTGAACACTTAATTTAAAGAAGTTATTTTATAAAGTAACAACATCACGAACACATAAACACAAACAAACTGGAAAACCAACAGACTGTTGTTGTGACTAGGGATGTTCGATATTTTGAGATACCTGCTTGTCATTGAAATATCGGTGACAAGAGGCTCAAAAATACAGTGACTGGAATATCGGTGACAGCGGCAAGTCGCTCCTCGACGATGGCGCGGCGGCTTGGAGGGAGGGGCGTGTCAGCAGACTGTTCTCTCTGACGATATCAGAATCTGTTACAAAATCACCTGTGACGAGGTGCCCGCGTATTCACGTATCAACCAATCCCTGCATAACCAACCACCTCACATGAGTCACATCCGACACTAGACAATACACAATATTTTCGGACAACAACGCCAACCAACATTATTCAAACTCAACGTATTCTAAATGCTTTCAAATGCCAATATTAACCTCCTCAACTAGGCCTATTATGTCTATTAGTATCTATGGACCGCCTATATATATTTTTAATTTTAATTAATATCAAACCAAAGTTTATTAGTTTGTCAATGCTACGATATATTTTATTTCACAAAGTGTAGGCAAACAAGTAGATGTTCCTTTAAAACCCCAAAGCAAAGGTACTGGTACCTAATTGACCAAAATATTTAAAATTCAGTGACAAACAGCTGATTCTAAATCGTCAAGGGACGTATCGCCACAGCATCGATAGTAAATGCCCCAGTGACAAACCAGTGCGGTCTTAAAAGCTGTCACCGATATTTCAGTCACCGATATTTTCCCCCGATATTTCTTTGTCACTGGAACGAAGTCACCGATATTTTTAAATCACGGTATCTAACATCACTAGTTGTGACAGCTCCAAACAGATGGGCCTGGACGGAACGTAAAGTCAGTGTCCTGCACTCAGTTGTACCAACCGCACTACTCCACTACTGCAATACTGGAGCTGGAACTGAAAATTCCCTCCCGAGACGTGTCCTACATAAACAGGAGAAAGTTTTAAATTCTTTCTCATGTAGCTGTACTGGTATATAAGAACAGTGTATATGACAGTATTAAATTTCCTACCAGACTAATGTTAAGGTTTAGAGGTGTTTATTGCTTGATCATCGAATAATTTCTTTGATACAATACAACGATCCGTCGGCAGGATTTCAGACATCGAACCATAGATTAAAAATATTTCTCCCAACGGTTACACCATTTTAGAACAGATAGAAATATATATATCATGGGTAAATATATAATTATGCTATGTTTGTAAAGTGATTTAATCCAATGTATATTCCAATATTCCAATGTAAAAATGGTGTTACCGTTGAAAGAATAAATAAATAAATAATCTTATATATTACAAAACTTTTAAACTTATGACTGTTTTAAAACAAGACAATAGGAGCTTTAAATGTTGAAAAGAGAGAATAAAATATGTGAAATAACAACCAACAAAAAAATAACAGCAATAGCAATAATGATGTGATAACATAACAAACAACAAATTTAAATGCTGAGCAAAAACAATAACAACTAACCAATAAGAAATTCATATAACTTTTTGTAGCCCATTAATGGAACCATGAAATGAAAACTTTCACAAACCCTCACTTTAGCACCACGCCGACCCTCCTTTTGAAAGAAGATGTTGAACCAGAAAAAAGTCAATCAGCGCACCATCTGACTTCCTGTTCGCTGCAATCTCAATCTGCACAGGCCACTGTAGTATGCAAAAAGAAAAAGTGTTGGCTGATAGTGTTGCTGGAAAGTGGAGAGTTCTGGAGCGTGTTCCTCTGGGCACACAACAAGATTAATATTGCGCTTATTGTGGAGAAGTTCAGGGCAGTCAATAAGGGCATTGATCAGCAGTTTGAGGAAAACAGCACCAAAGATCTTAATGTAATGGTTGAATATGAAGGAAGCTGCACCTCTAGCTCACGGATAGGTGTCCCGGTATCTGAAGCCAAGCCTAGGTCCAAAAACATCCTAATGAAACAATCTTGTGTTCTTGCCAGTAGTAGGCCTAGTATCTGGATGTGTCCAATTTGATAAGGAGACCATATAACAGACCCATACTCCAAGATGGGACGAACCAACTACTACTAGTACAGACAGGATCACTCTTGTGTAATTCTATAATTGGAGACTTCCAATTACTAATTCCTTGGAGATTTCCAATTCTATGTGCATCTGTATATGAATCCTGAGAACGAGTTGGCACTATACTGTGCTGAAACGGGCTAAGATCATGCGTAATAATTAATGATGCCCAAATCCTTGATGCATCACTCTGTACTATGCTGTAAATAAAACATGAGATTGTAAATTCATATATTTGTTTTGATTTTCTGTTTATATTTCGTAACCAGCATGGCAACCCATAAAGTCCATGTTATTTTTTTTTAATTTCAAATTATTTTTTTTTCTGCTTATATATTCAATTTTTAAAGGGATGCTGCACATCTACAGGAAAATATCTTTCTAACAATATGCTGGATTTTACCTAGGTTTCACACAAGCTGAGAAAAAATGTTTATAAGAAACATGCTTGCCTATAATATAAAGAGACTAGATGTCTCCAGTGGTCGAAAACTCAACCAAAAAAAATGTACAGACTTCTCTATTTTAACCCCACGCTGTAAATAAAACATATGAGTCTTATAAGTTGCCATGCTGGTGACAAAATAACAACGAAATATAAACAGAAAATCAAAACAAATAGAAGACATTCTAATCACATGTTTTATTTATAGCAAGGGGTGAAAATAAAGAAGTATGTTTATAACATATTTTTGGTTGAGTTTTCGACCATTGGACGACCTCGAGTATTATATTAGACAAGCATGTTTATTGAAAACCTTTTTCTCAGCTCCTGTACATCGCAGGGAAAATCTAAGAATACTTTTAGAAGATATTTGAATTCCTTTAAAATTAAAATAGGCTAAAAAATTAGAACAAAAAATTAATTTAAAATTAAAGAAGACCTTATGGGTTGCCACGCTGGTGAGGAAATAACAACAAAATATAAACAGAAAATCAAAACAAAAGGAAGAAATTTCAATCACGTTTTAATCACAACGTGTGGTGAAAATAGAGAAGATTGCACAATACATACTTTTGGTCGTTTTTGACCACGGGGCGAGCTCTAGTACATCATAGAAAGAAAATTTAAAATTGTAACATATTCAGTTGTAGATTTAATACTTAAGATTAAAGAAATAGTTGTTTAAATTTCCATTTTTCAAGGACACATTTGATCCCACAACGCTGTCTTTCTCACTGGAGACCAAACGCTTCAACCCTAAAACTATTCAAACTTCATAGAACTCCATAGTCAATGATTGATCCGAGGCCCAACAACAGTCCTGACCCAACACAGGGAGAGCATCCTAAGCTTCAAAATCGTGTTTCCACCATTCGATAACTTGTGTTCAATGATGTAATGTGTGTATTTCGACTTATTTTGAAATCAAATGTTTTCTTTATATTTCGTAAATTTTGTTATAGTATTTTACGTTTTTCTGAGAGCTTGCAAATTTGATGGACAAAACCAATGTTTTATTTCTCTGCCGCCTTATGTGCTTTTAAACCTGAAAAGGCAGGGAGAAGGTTTTGCTATAGACTAACCAACACAAGTACTCACCCCATTGTAAATTCTGAAGCACATTTTTCGTGGCTAGTTCATGTCGGGTGACACTAGCTATCAGTTTATAGCCATAATCAGCTTAGAGTTGTTTTTTAATTATTCCCAACATGGGAAATTGGCTAATAAGCAACTCACTCACTCAATATCCACTGGTCTCTTTCAGTACTGTTAATAAGAAGTCGACCACCCACTACCAAATAATACGGGGTATAAATGTGCAAAGTGATATGACGAATTTTATTTCCCAACTCTGCAAAATCATACATACTCCCTTAGCATATTTATCATCCTAGAAGGGAGTTTTATTGTTCCAGTGCACTGTAGTGGTTGTGTTTTGTTTACAATTTGTTTCTTGTTATTTCAGACATTTAAAACCTCGTTTAACTAAACAAAAATATCTAATAAAAAACAGTAACTCTTCCCCTAGTTATATAACCAAACAGTAAAGCACAAATCATAAAATTAACCATAAAATGATGTAAAGTCGACACTAGTGATCATGGTCACCAGACATGAAAAACGAGCTTCAAAATTTACAATGGGATGGAAAGTCTACTTGTGTTGGTTAGTTTATGGTATAATGTTCTGTACTGAAATACAAGGGACCAGGAAGAACAAGTTGAGAACCATTTAAGAAGGGATTGTAAAAATTAAACAACAAAAATACAACAATAAAATTTAATATAACCCAGTACTTAATGATAGAATATTTTGTCTATGATAACAGTTTTAAACAAATTAAAAACTAATTTCATAAGGTAACCCCAAAAAGATTAATTTTAAAAGGTATACACCCTGATATTGCAGTTCACAACACAGTCGATATATAGTCCTCGCCACCCTAAGTTGACGCAGCCAAAGGCGGCACTAGATATACGCCGTGCGGCCTTTGGCTGCCTCAACTTAGGGTGGCGAGGACTATAGTAGACTCTCTCTTACTCCGCCCTAGGTTAAACAACACTCTGAATAATAGTCTCCGCCACGGCAAAAATAGAAAGGTCAATTTATCTACCCAAGATTTTAAACCTGGTTTGACCGACCTTTGAAAATCTAGACTTCCATTCCCAAATTCATCACAGTTTAAAATAATTGAATCATGTCCTTGCAAGTTTTTTTACAGAATCAAACGGGAAGCTCACAATATTCTGTACTGCCAATGTAAATTAATAAAAATGTCATTTTTGGACCAAAACTTCAAGACTGAATTATTTTTATTACCAACCTATTAAACATGGTTAACTGTTTGACATATAATTAAAAACTTGTACAAAATTACCTAAATTACAGTCTATAGTGTTTAATACTCCATTTAACCTACATCTATACCTACTAAACTGATTACAGACTTAGTGGAAAACCTACAGTGATGCTTCTACTATTAAATATATTATTCCATAAAAATCTCTACCCTGATGAAAGATACAATATTCGTCCTGAAGAATGTTTGATACAATAAACGTATAAAAATGGAAAACCCATATATTTTTCAATATCTTACCCTACAAAGGTACATAATTATGTGGTAGAAAAATATTAAGCTGACTGGATCAAAATAATGATTAAGTAAGATTTAATAAGAAGCTTAAAATCACAGTCCATGAATTACATAGTAAATAGGTATATTGAATTCACAGTATTTGTTAAATCTGACGATAGTGAGGAAAGGAAGATGATTTGTAGCCTAAGTAATTTAAAACATAATTTTGTAAAATATGGCAGACTGAGAATTATGAATGTTATTATATAATTAATGTTTTACTCGTTAATTAAATTATTTTCATGTAATGGATAACCATTTGAATCTAGTTATCAATGAATTTAAAATGAAAAATCAATTTATTGATTAAGGTTAGAAAGGTTCTTACAGCAGGAGCAACTCCAAATTCCAAATCCAAAATAAGTTTTTAAAGCATCTCCCTATGGCAAAAACTAAAAAGTCCAGACCAGTTAAATTAGAGATATGATATTTTAAAACCTATATTATTTTTAAATGCATTTATGACAGATTTTTTTCTAATTACCAGGATTACTTTTATGTCGAGTTAAACTGCTTTCTACTCCTAAAAATTTTTACACCTAACCCTGATTTACCCTTTTTCTAAAAAAAAACTTAAGGCATTCTAACCAAAATTATGAATCATCAATATGTTTTTCTTTTGGTTTAAGGACTATTGTCATAACAGAGCAGGCCAGGGACAGTCTTATCGCAGGTTATAAAATAGCTATTACAAACAATCAGTTTATTACCTATATTTGTGGCTTATAACCAAGAAACCAAGCCACATTTATTGATATCCGATCCATTTGTTTTTTTATAGAAGGCTTGGTTTCATCCAGAAATGTTTGAATATGAAAGAGGAAACCGGTATAAATAAACGATTTGAATTTATAACAATCTAAAACTTTGGGGTAACTCAACCGGCGAGAAAAATAATATTCAATAAACGCCAACTTAAAAATATAAACTAAATATTGGTTGGTTAAAAAACAATAGCTCACAATGTCTTTGTAGCTTGGATATAGAAAAGCTCTCAACTGTATTGTTTTATAGTAAATTTAAATAAAAAAATACCTTATCAACTTAACATATATCAAAAGAGTAATATAAAATAATTGCACACTTTTTAAAGACTAGACATTGATAAACATTAAAATTATAACAGCCACCTTTCAAGCACCAGTCAACATATTTTAAGTTATGAAGAAAAAACCATACATTGGTCTTAAACATTTAATGTTAAGAACCGAAATAAAGATATTTGCAATAAAATCATAATTTACCTATACCATATTCCATGAAGACATAACAACAACAAGATATAGACTCTTATTCTTTCAATAAATAGTTAACAGATGAAAAAATAGAGTCAAAGCTATCAAATATGAAGAATATATATGGTAACATACAATACAAATTGTGATTTTGGGAAGAACTCACACAATGTGGCTTACAATTTGCAAAACAAACAAATAACATTGACAAACAACACATATCCAATGCAGTTTAATTTGCGTAACAAAAATTCTAAAAACTTAAATATTAACTAGTTCTATGGATGTAGTCCACTCTGTTAGAAAAACCAACTAAGGATTCTTTATGAATTGCAATTCAAAGCCACCTAAAAATATGTAGGCTAAATACAGTGTTAACTAATAATAAATATATAAATGCACAATTGGTTATAAATCCAATACTAAAACAAACATAGAAAACTCGCACATTATTAGTGTAAGAAAAAATAAACAGGCAAAAGAGTAAGAAGGCATTTTGTTTTTGAATTCTCAATACATAAACCACCGGATTTTTGGATTTGAATCATGCGGCTTTTATGGAATAAAAATAAAATAAAATGTGTATTAACTAAAGATACCAAGAGTGTGAAGTAAATCTAAAAAAAAAAAACTCAAACATTGTTATACTTACAAAACATTCTGAAGGATCTATTATTTGTTCTGATAAGAGTGGAATTACAGGCATGGAAATTTCAGAAAATGGAATCTTTGAATGCTGTTTCTAATTCCTACATTTAAAATACTTGCTTCAACAATAAAACTGCACAGCTGCAAAACCATTTTCAAAAACAAAATAAGATTAAATGCAAAAAAATTGAATGATTCGCTAATTTAAAAGGATATAAAAAATTCAGAAATATGTTCCTAACACTTTTAACTACAATATTAACATACTTAGTATACGATTGCCAACAAAATTGGTAATTCAGAAAAGGTTACTACATTAGATAGCTACTGATTGAAAAAGGTACATAGGTATACTTACGTCTACAACACTTAAAGCACAGAGATTTTCATCAAATCACATTCAGCTTGTGCGTTACGGAAATTATTGTATAAAAGGATTTTTATTATTCAGTACTCAATCAAAAGATATGTTTATATTTGACTAGCAGTATAAATAAATTGACTTGTTTCCATAAAACAGTAAAATTATGTAACAAATATTACTTTTATAAAATAATTTATGTACTTTAAGTCATCTTGATCGCAATAATTTTATTGCATACGTTTTTAAGGTTAGGAAAGATTAGTTTCATGTCCCATCAGAAATGCAGGTACTTTTTAACTATCTCTTTTTATAGCTGTACAACTATAATAAGCTAACCTAATTTGACGTTAAGCAAACTTACTAAAATTAGGTGTACTAATAATAACCTTTTAAATTTAAATTTTTAAATTAGTTTTAAATGCTTAAAGTATCAGATATAATACTAATGAAAATAATATAGCAACGCAAAGTGATGATACAGTAAAATATTGTGGCTACCTAGGATAATTATATGTTACGAGACTTAACCACAAGTCATACTAATACTATACTGTAGACTATATTATGACCAAAAAACAAGTTTCTAGATTTAAAGTGTTTGGAAAAACGCATCAAAAACGTATCCAATAAGTACACATATTTCAAGGGTTAAAACTCTGCGTCACACAGAGAGGAAGTAAATAACGATTTTTGCACGATATTGGCAAAGATGTTCACATGTCTAAAAGTTATTCTAGTAGTTTGAATATTGAAAAAAAATATTATAAAATACAACTTTGGGATACCTGGTCCTTATTTATACCAAATACTTAAAACCGTCAATGGACAGTATTAGCGAGGACTATCAAGCAGTACATTAATCAAAGTGTTTAAGAACTTTGAATTTATATTGATAAAAATAAGCAAAATAAATAATACATTAGGATAATACTCCATATAGGAAAATTGGGTTACATTAGGAAAACAGATTAGATTGGAGTTTTGTTAAATACTGACCTCTTATAGTTACTTCCAATGCTAACAAGATAAATAATTATGAAAAAGTTAAAAAAAGAAATAGCGCTAGGGGTAATACACCTCTAAACAAACGATTGTTTAAATTATAAATCAAAATTAAATCCTACAAGACACGTAAGAATCAAATCTGATAACATTAACCGAGTGAATAGCATAACAAAATTAAAATATTCGCCAAGCATCCTCATCATCATCTGAAATGAGATTCCATCACCTGTTGTTACCGTGTGTGGTGCGAAAGCAAATTGATCGTCCAGCGAGTTGTGTCTCAGTGGAAGACCTCGCAGACGAAGGTGCAGTTTAACCAACAGCGGCGGGGCCGAGAGCTCAAGTGTAGAGCTCACACCAGACAGGGCAATGCTCACTGGCAGGACCTCCCCACTGCCACCCACGTGGTATAGCCACGTGGTTTAACCCTTGTCTCACAATACCAGCCACTCCTGTGTGACAGATGATCAATTAATGACAGGCGATTAGTTAATTCAAAACCATGCTGCAGTTGTGCTACAGACACAAAATATATCCAAGTATGACCTATGTCACACTCATGCTGGTGCAAAACAAATAAAAGTAACAGATCCAAACAAAACCCAGATATGACACAACCTAATACTTTTCCACTCTAACTGTTTAAAGCTGTAAAAACTCCCCATACCTCCCCATATATACCGGGTGTCCAAAACCACCCGTACACCCCTTTCAAAACGATGGAAACCATTTCTTACAAACAAAAAATAATACAGAACTAGCTAAATTGGGCACGGTCTACCAAATTGTGATAATTTCAAATCCAAAACCACACCGGAAGTGGCTTTTTCAGACCGGAAGTTGACTTTTTAAAATGTAAACTACCAATTTTGATTACAGAATCGGATTCTACGTTGAAAAATACATAACTTTAGTCTAAAACATTTTTTGAAAAAACTTGTTTTCTACCTCTAATTACCTCATTAAAGTCAATAATTTTAGGTAGCATGGGAGTTGTTAAGTTTAGTACTATGTTACTTGGGCTTTTGATTGACCAGAGCAGTTAGTGACGTGGACTGTTAGGTATGGTTAATGGCAGAGTAGTCTCTCTCGCCAGGAAACTTGATCGTAGATTGAAGGTTTTACTTTCTCGGACAGGTCTGGTAAGCCCGGTGAGGAGTACACCTGTTTGTGGCAGTGATTGCTGTGATAGTTAAGGGTCTGCGACTATCCAATATTTTTGGGTTGGATTGGGCCAAAAGTTGGCCTAAGGGATCTGTTTAGGTTAGGAATAAATTTTGGGCTAAGGTCATGTTTTTCATGCTAAAGGCGTGCGAAGGGCTTCATTTTTGAGCCGAGCTTACATTATCACAATCGTAAAAAGCGCATGATTAAAAATTGACAAATTCGCTGCAATTATAGGTGATGTTCATGGTTTTTCCACATGGAGGGAGCCGATGATGATGTCTGCACGATTTGCAAGATCCTAAAAGATGTTCACGAATCCGTTGGGACTACGGAAGATGTTCTTGATTTCACGGTAACCTCAGAAGTATTCATGAAGGGATTCACAATTTTGCTGTGACTGCAACAGTTGTTCTCGATTTCTCCAAAATGGCCAGAGGATGATATTTAGTATTGTAGGCTATAAACCAATTATATTTTAACAATAAATATTTTTTTAATCAATACTTTCCAAAGCAACCTGATTTTGTCCTGATATATTTTACCTGACCCAAAGTAGACAAGTTTGGTTTAGAGACTTCTAGCACAGCTCAGGTGGATTCTCTGACCTGTTGCACCTCAAATCAGGTAATTTGCTACTTTATTTGCTTATCTTGACTGTGTATGTGTTCGGAAAAAAATGTTTGAAAAATGATTTGAGTATCAGGTAAAATATACATTATAAAGATAACTGATATAATGTTTGGAGTTTAAATGATTAACTTCCTTGACTTTTCATATCCGTGTAATCTTACGTTACCTGTATATCTAGAGAGAGAGCGCTTGTTAAGGTATATGTTGTCCATATAGTTGACACCGCAGGTTCCTGGCGCCATGCTGTTGGTGATGGTGGGAGTCTGCAGTATTCTTGTGTAGCCCTCCTCAACAAACTCTGCAAAAATGATCGCAGTATAAGCAACAAATTAGAATAACTGGTCATACTGTAATAGGAATATAATAAAATACGTCTTCCTAAGCTTATCGATATACACTCATACTGAACATACATACAGGATAGTAAATATACACAGTTATCATCAAAACCGTATGAGATTTTCTTAAACATTACTCGGTACTTTCGTATTAAGCCAACCACACCGATAAATCAACTGCCTAATAAGGTTTTAATTAGTTTAAATAAACAAAATCTTCCTAACCTAACCTTACCAAAGGGTTTTATTTTACCAATTTAGGTGTGGTTGATATAATACGAAAGTACCCATTACTTTGTGAGCAAGCTTTGTAGCAAATCAAGAGACAAGGCGTGAATACTAATTATACTTTGTTCACAATATTTAGGCGGTTTGTGGGAGAAGAAATCTATCCCCTCCACTCTATCTTTACCTTTAAAATAATAGCTTATAGCTCAACAGCCGATTAGAAACGTACATTAAGTACAAAAAAGTGGTGGGGGTATTTCCCCTCAAACCGCCTAAATATTGTGAATCGAGTATAGTACCAATGTGGACCATCCCTTGCATTCATACCACAAACTACTTCTTGTTGATGCTTCTCCTACATAAGAACTAAGCAAATTTGAACATTTGTGGTTTATAAAAAAGGTTGTCCTAATGTTAATCAGGAACATAAATATTTAGAACTAATATTATTACTTTGAGGAGCTAGAGTTGCCATCAAGTTTTTGACTTAAGTTAAAATCTTGTGACAAATGAGGTGGTGACTATGTAAGAGGTTAATTTTCTAGGGGGTCACATTTTCTATTCAATTACCCTACGTATCTTAACCTTCAAATTGTAAGTGGATTCAGGCCTAACTGATTGATTCCTCTGACATCGTGTCATGGTTGTGATAAAACCAAATATACACATCAAACCTCCGTAAGCTGAGTTTTGAAACAGTTCTGTATCTTAAAAAGATGATCTGGAAAAAAAATTGGAACTACAGAAACTGCTTAGTAATGTTTCAGCTTGTTGGCAGCTTTCTGTTAACTCATTCAGGATTTTTTTTTCAGCAGCCAAAAATTGTCTCAAATGCGGCGGTCTTATCGCCGCACTGTACAATGTTTTGGTCCTGTATTGTTTGTTGTAACTGACTGTATAAACTGTGTTGATCTTCACTCACCAGCGTCAGGGTAGGGTGTAAAGTCACCAATAGCTATATCAGGTTCACATTGAGACAGCAGCCGTTGACACAACTCTCGCACCTTGATGTCGTCTGCGGAGAGGTGAATGTTCATCAAACTGACACTACCTGCATCCACCTGCACAGTGCACACAACTGGTCATGTTCACGTCAAATTTAATCTTTCCATAATCAAATAGTGCTTTCATTAAATCTACAATCTTTTTTACATTTAAACTATAAAATAATTCTCAATCAGCAGCGAGTACAAATACAGTTCTGAAAATCAGAATTAATTTGATTGAACCCTGTTCCAATGAGCTAAAATTCCAATCAGACAGAGCCATGATTTATTTTGAATAAGTGTCAGATTACATAATTTTGCTAATAATCCCTTGGGTGAGATAATAAAAACTAAACATTTTTCCAAAATCGCTTCGTTCCCCAGATATCCGCCATTTTGTATTTTTTATATAAACATTTTTATCTCTGAAATTTTTCAACCGATCTTTATAAAACTTGTTATGTATGTTAAGGTAAAAGAGACCCATGTTAGGGAAAAAATTCATCTTGATTCAACTTAAAATTTCAAAATGGCGGCTATTTTAATTTTTTAAACTTAAATTACTAAATAACGGCTGATTTTACAAAAAATGTCAAGAAAACTTTTATTTAGAAATTTTAATTCCCTATGAAACGATTTCAAGTTCAATAAGATGAATAAGAAATATCTGAAATATTACAGTATTTAGTTGTAAAATGGGGTAGAATAAGGCTAAGCTAGTCAGGTTTGCCCCATTTTACAACTAAAAATCTTAATATTTCAGCTATGTCTTATTTGATCTTTTTGAACTTGGTATCGTTCGATAGGGAATTAAAAATGCTAAATAAAAGTGTTCTTGATATTTCTTCATAAAATCAGCCACTTTTTAGTAATTTAAGTAAAAACAATTGAAATAGCTGCCATTTTCAAGTTTTAGGTTTGATCAAGTTGAACTTTTATCCTAACATGGGTCTCTTTTATCTTAACATACATACCAAGTTTCATAAAGTTCAGTTGAAAATGTTCAAAGATAAAAATGTTTATGTGAAAAATACAAAATGGCGGATATCTGGTTAACAAAGCAATTTTTGTTCTCTTTATTTTTACCCAAGGGATCACTAGTAAATTATGTCCCCACCTCTTTTGAACAACATAAACAGTAAAATATGAAAAGTAGCTGAAGGGCAATGACCTTGAACTTAAACTCATGTATTCACGTTTTTAGTGTAGAACTGTTATTTATACAAACTAGTTATCCTTTTTAAGTTGTTGGTAGTAGCAGGGTTTCGATTAGCTAGACCCTACTTTTTTTTTACATTATGAGACAGCTAAGGAGAAATATGAGTGTAGGAGTTTTGCCAACGGGTATCAGGTAGAAAGGGTCCCCATCCATGAATTCCACATACTGCGGAGTTTTGCCAACGGTTGTGGGTTGCGTGAGAGGGGGAGGGGGAGAGAGAGAGATTACACCTGACCGTGAGGGTGGCTTCCGCTAGGGGTGGACAAACCAGGCAGGATGCTGACTGTGTTCAAAGATATTCTGTGCTCGCTGGTTCAAAGTAATGGAGTTATGCAACCCTGACTGTGAAAGGAAATGTATTGCATTTTTAACCTAACCTAACCTAACCTAACCCACTGCGACAAGCGCATAACTGCCAAGCGTAGACAACCCTGTCCCTGACAATCGCTCTCCCTTCCTCCGTCACTCTCTTTCTCCCACCACCACCGTTGGCAAATCTCCGCACCAAGAGGTGGCCGAAGGCATCCCCCCCATCTACCTGACACCCGTTGGCAAAACTCCGGTTCCCGAGAAATATTAAAGAATAAAAGAAAATAGTGCTTCACATTACACCCTTTGTCATACAATTGGATCATATAATGCATTTTAAAACCGTATGTTTGTTTGGCACCCTGCTGTAAAAGAAATAAAAGACAAATCAAAAGTAAAAAAAAACTTTTAAGTTAAGAAATAAAGATAATTACAAAGGATTATAAAGATAAGTACAGTATGTTTAAAGGGTCATTATGATGATTTATCATCAATTCTAAAATTTTACTTACTTCAAACTGTGCAAGTATGGCGAACGCAGTAGCGTCATCATGGATGATTTGAATGTCTTGGATGCCAATACCAGTTTCCGAGTCATATAGAAAACCACAACTCCTCTATAACATAAGAACAAATTTTGTTGAATGTGCAAAAATATTTTTAAGTGTTTTAAAGAAAAATTTAAATTATTTTGCCAGCAAACCACTTTGACATAGCTTGCTTATCACCTATTTGATTATAAATTATTAAGTGTATAGTGGTAAAACCAGCCAAACTTAATTCAATTTTCTTATTTATTTATGTGATTCATTTTCAAGACATGTTTGGAAAATGTTGATCATGAAAACAAAAAAAAATTAAACACATGCATGCTGTTATGTCTGTGCTACAAAGGAAACACTTTGATAAAAATACGATAAACAGGTACATTACTGAAAAACCGGCCAGTGTTGGAAATGAGACACGTGCGGTGACGCCGGAAGATGAGTCCAGCAGCAAGGTAACTTAAACTATTTTGCTTAAAAGTATTAAGAAATGTAAATTTATTACTTTACCTTTCCATCTGCGGACAGAGTCGTAGTATTTTTCCATTTACCTCTCTTGCCTCTCCACTCCTGCACTCGTCTCAACCGTGGTTCGTTGAGTTCACATGCGATCTGAAATCGTAAAATGTGTTAACTTCGCTTTTAGGTGTTTTTAAGTTGGTCGTAGGAAAACCAACTTGATAACAAAACCATCAACTAAATCTTTAGATCGATTATCAAGTTTTTTACTGAAATACTATCAACAAATTAACATGTTGGTTGCTCAATGAACAAATAGTGATCGAGTGTTTAATGCTTAATATTGTAAATTGTCAAACTTATGATTGAATCAAGTAAACCACTAGTAAGAGCTACACTGATTCCATCCATAATTTAACAAGGAGGAATAAAAAATTGACCTTATACTATACACTAACTTGCTGGTATAAGCATCCACAAATAACATGAATAATAGTGGCATTTTCATTGAGAGTGAACTTTTTATAAGATCAAGGGTGTAACATAGAGCATAAGGGCCTAGGAGGATTTTTTAAGAGGATAGCAGGCCTACCTGAATGGGAAAGAGTCCAAACTGGCACAGGAAACGCAAAACTTTACACAATATACACAAAGTGTAAAGTTTTGTGTTTCCTGTGCCAGTTTGGACTCTTTACCCTTCAGGTAAGCCTGCTATCCTCTCAAAAAATCCTTTTTATGAGATTAATTCTGGTTATGTAAACATTTCTGCGTAGCAAACCTAGCTCTTGGAATTTAATGGGTTTGAAGTATTTTAATGTCGCTTTAATACTTCTCATTCTTCTCCCGTGGCTCTATTATGTAAAACATAGATTTAACTAAAAATTAAAAAAGTACTGTTTATTTACCCTTCCTCAATAGTTTTGAACTACACCAATAATTAGTACATACATATACACTACTTACAGCAAAAATTACATTAATAAGGTATACTTAGGCCTAACAAGTTACCTCTTATCAGAAAAGAAATGACAGAAAATGTATCTAGAATAAAAATGATTTAACGAGGCTGTTATCAATATTTGAGGTGCAATTGAGTTCCAGATAACAATTTGCGTTCTGTACGTACAGGAAGCTATACTGTGCGTGGCAAAACTGGAAGTTATTTAAGTTGATTGTGTGGCGATTTGTAACGGTTAAGTTTTAACTTATATCTAACATGAGAGCGTTGTTGTTACTCACAGTCGTAGGTGAGTTTAATACGTCTGTAATATAGTACTAGTGATGTAAACTTAGATAAATATTCTTGATTCAAATTTTGATTTACATATATATAAGTTATATATATTGATAAAATTTTATTTTAATTTAGTGTCTAATAAAGTACTGTAAAGTTAAAGGAATTTTAAAGGGAGATACTATACAGGAGAATGAGGTGTACCCGCGCCACTTTATGATAACTTAATAACAACTTGGATGCAAATATTTCAAATAACGTTGAAACACGGGTGTTCTGATATTACTCTCTAAGCAGAGCTTGGTGACCAGGTTCTAATCTACAATTATCAACAGCTGCCGCAGTGGCGTACCCAAGCCCGTACCCGTACCCACGCCCACAAGAATCTGAGTGTAACCAGTTCTGTCCCCTCGACTACCTACCCATCTGTGGCATCAACTCTGACGGATACCTCAAAACTTTTGGGAACCCGTGCTTTCTGAAGGTTGAAAACGACTGTAATGGAGGAGGTATGTTTTAATATTGGTTTTATTTTGAAATTACAATAGGTTTAAAATATATAAAGGAGGTTAAATGTATTTGAATACAGTAAAAAAGTCACTTCTTTATGAGTCAGTCGAGCTTTATACTGGGAGCGAGCTTGCCTAGTGGTAGAGCCTGGGTCTTTGGTCCCCGAGGTCCCAGGTTCAAATCCTGCCAAAAACTAATGGATTTTGATTTTATCTAAGTGATAATGCTGCACCTCTAGGCCTGGTCTGAAGTAATGTGGAAAACAATCTTGGGCTAGGCCAAGTAAAAAAAAAGTACAACAGAAGGCCTCCACTATCAGTGTTCTTCACACTCTGTCAGTTGAATCATAGAATTAATGAGCTTGACCAATTACCAATTTATTCTGACTGGTTTACTGCAATTCACAAATTCTGTTGTGGATTTAATGTAATATGATGAATGTGTTTCAGATTACGAGTACCTTTACTGTGGTATTTGTAACACAAGGACATTTACAGCTAGAAGATAAAACACATTGGGTATTGTATTAGAGCGTAATAAAAGATATTAAATTAACTTTTAATTTTTTACCATGGAGTTTCGAGTTTTAGGTATATGGATAGTATTATATTGAGTTGGCACAAAAAGTGTATAGCCTAGTTTAAGGCTAAGAACGAGTAGAAGATAATTGTTGAAAAAATGACTTTATATGATTCCTGCACTTTTGTACATGATGCAGTGACCTTTTAAGACAATCAAATACAAATACATAGGCCCTATGTTGAGGCAAGATATGAGATAAGCTGAGTTTGTAATTGTTGCAAGGTATTTATTAAACTTGCTCACCACGCTGTAAGGAGTGTGTGTAATTTCTCTCTATATAAAATGTGGTTAGGTTAGCACACAATGAGCAATTTATTGATTAGTTAAGTTTCAACAAAAGAGAAGTAAGATACAGAGGAAACATTCAAAGGTAAACTTAAGTCGTGTCTAGCACCAGTTGTTTGTGTCTAGTTCAAATTCTATTGGTCGTCCCCATCCGCTCTCATCTCCTCCCTCACCACCACGTAGTATAGCGTTCTCGCTAGTGCTGTGACGGTACTACAGTAATCAGTATTTTGTAATCAGTACTGGTCAGTATCGGAAGTATCTGTTACTCCAAATACAAAGTATCAGGTACAAAGTAATCACTTATAATGTGTACCTCAAGGAGTGTATCACAAGTAACAAGTAACAGCAGAGACAGGAACTCAGTATTTTTGGGCCAATAGGAGCGCTTTATAAGGAACTGAGTACTACAGAGCCAATTAAATCGCTAGTTCAGTTGTCAGGTGACTTTACGAGTACAGTACAGAGTACAGACAGAAGGAATCGGTAACAAAATGGTTTTGTATGTTAAACTAAAGGCCTAGACAGAGTAATCATGATTACAATGTAATCAGTATTTGTAACCAGTACGGAAGAGTACTCGTATCAACTGTAAACAATAGCTGTTCGGGCTCTTCCTGGCTCGGCACTAGTATATTTCCGCACCACCATTCCCGAGCTAAAATCGCATGGTTGTTTCATAAGCATGTTTTCTGTATCTTACTTCTCTGTGGTTTCAATTAATTATATTTCTTTATATTCCTAAAGGCCATTTTACCAAACAAAACCATCCAATAGCAATTAAATCTCAAATCTACCAAAAACCACTAAACAGTACATGCCGTCGGTATGAGTTGGAACAATTATCTACCCAGCCATAGTTGGAAATATTTAACAAACTCTAGTAATAGTATTTCTTACCTTATCTGAGGCTGCAGGATCCAATACTTCTTGAGTAGCCACCAGGGAGAATCTGTAAAAAATATTAATTTGAAATTTCACATTTTACTTTGTTGTATAGGCTAATACAAGGACAGCACTAGATAAAAAATTGTGTGTTTGTTTACACATTGATACATTTGTGTCAGTACTGAGTATATTATAATAGTGTTCATAAACAGCTGAAGCTCAGATGAGCATCTAAAAATACACTATTGCAAGGGTAACTGAATACTAATGAAATAGGGAGTGAAAGAGGTGATTCCTAGCTAGGTCTTAGGTTATTTCTCATGTATATCTGGGGTATGCCAATATAACCACAAACCCTACAATTGTTGCCAATGTATTGAATTTTCATTGACTAGATGTATTGTGGCTCCTAACATTGCCTACTTGAGGTGGATATAGAAGATGAATTATTTTGTATGTGTAAGGAAAACAAGCCACACACCTACAGATCTTGCTAGGAAAGATCTGTTTAACTATGAAGTACAGTTAAGTCTCGATTTCCCACCTAGAGCAGCCGCAGCAAAGAAATACATAATGAAGCAGTTTTAAAAACTTTAAAAGTTGTGTCTAAACGAAAACCTTTAGAGTACCGGTACTAAACTTTTAATAACTACGTAATAAGTAGGCTACATTTAACTTAACACTTTCATTTTGAAGCTAAAATGACAAATTAAAAAATAAAAAAACTAGTAAAAACACTATCACTAAAACTAAGAAGCCATGGCTTACAGTCATGCAGAAGGGAAAACACACAAGCATATGGTAGGCTACTTCAATGTGTTAAAGGTAGGATAATGCGGAGGGTTGGATAACCAAAGATCAGATGATCGAGACCCTACTTTAGTCACTTACAGTAGACTCCCTTTTATCCGGACTCCTCTGGACCGAGGCCAGTCCGGATAACGGGTTTTCCGGTTAAACAGACGTCCACGAAAACTAGTTAAAAATGACCGTTTAAATGCATACTCTATACAGTAGTTGACTTAAATTTAGGAGAGCATTGCATTTGGACACGTGGTCACTGTTCTCAAATCTTTCCCACGAGAACAGTCGTTACAGTTCCGCCCACTTCCTGCCGATCTAGTCCGGTTAAACCGATGTGCTGATAAAAATTGTCTGGTTAAAGAAATGTAATTTCCGCCGGGTGTAGTCTGGTTAAACCGATGTCCAGATAAGAGGGAGTCTACTGTATTAAGACCCAATGGCAAAAGGGAAAAGTTATGTTTTAGAAACCCCCCCTTAACCTATCTGCTAGTGAAATTGAACTGATACAAATCAATTCATGATACAAGATACACCTCATTGTTTAGTGTTCTCACCGGTTCTCTAGCAGTGTGCGACAGACCACTTCCTTGACCCCTGGGTTGTCTATCTTGTCGACCGTCATCGCAGTGAGATTCCATGAGGCCAGCCGCAGAGCTGAGCGGCCGTCCCTCATACCTTGGAACACATCGTCCACCAGGGGCCGCTGCGAGTAGGCACACAACAGCTCGAATATGTCCTTCACTGGGACATGTCCGTTCATCTGGGGCTTGCGGTCTGCTGGGAACATGTTCACAGAGATAAATTTACCTGATGATCATGGTCTTAGTACGGGAACTGACAGTATTTTATGTTTCTATGGGTTACGTAAACGTTTTTTTGGAAGGATGACCTTCTACTTCAAATATTTCAGGTAATTTATAGTTAAGCTTCTCTGGTAGTCAGATAGACGTTGGACAGTCTAAAATCTTTTAAATGTGGAGAAGGGCCTGGTTTCTATTTATTTGTCTCGATTAGAGGTAGACAACTGCAATAAAAATGTCAAGTAGGGGTTATAAAAAAAATAAAAACATGGAGAAAGGTAGATTTTTAGCCGGCTGCAATATGTGCCACCTTCACATCCTAGGACACTAGGTTCTAGCCTGGAAATGTTTTACACATGACTTCAGGCTACTACTAGAGGGTCGTGGTATTATCACATAGATAAAATCCATTTGTGATTGGCGGTATTTGATCCCAGGACCTCAGGCTACGGCCCAGAGCTCTACCACTAGACCAGCTTGTTCCCCCAATATCTTTAGTAGACTTAGTTGTTAGTAACTTCATCAAAAATTAAAGCACACCTGTTTGTGATTGTAAATGACTTCCTTTGAAATTGGAACACCTGATTTCCTTTATGGCTCTTTTTTATATATGTATATCGGTTGTTGATATATGTGTATAAATATGACATGTCTGTCCTACCTGCAAACCTTGATAGAGAGGTTCCGTTGAGTAGTGTCAGACTAAGCTTCTTGTTGAGTGGGATGGGCGTGCCGGGGGGAGGAGGGCCGACCACTACCTGACTACGGAGATTACTGAGTAGCCAAGCGCTCATACCTCTCACCTGCAAGACACAAGTGTAAATTAACAGCCTAAACCCTGGTCTGTTGTTGTGTGTATTTTTAGGAGCTATGAGGGTGAAAAAAATCAAAGTGGTACAATTAGAAATGAATGGGTAAGAAGATGGGTAGTTGACGACAGCTTAAAAAGGGGGAGTAGAAAAAGCAAGACTTAAGATGGTTTGGACAAGTGAGGAGTATAGAGGATAAATAGAAAAGCTTTTAAATTAATAGCTCCAGTATTGTTTATGGTTTTTTTATATGTTTAAGACTCAAAATAATCAGTAAATTATAGGCTTTAATTGAGCTATTGAACGTTTGAATCAGTTAAGTCCAAGATACTGTATTCCCCAAAAAATCATAAATTTGATTATTTCTCGGATATGATATTTATTTCAAAGCTGCGGAGCAGCATGGGTCCTCTAGTATTGACAAATAAAGTGTATTTATCTGAGTAGCCAAACGGTTTTCGAGATCACCTTCAAAGCCATAGTTTGCTGGTTTGACATCCAGTGATATTCTAAACCCTGACACAATTCAGTGGGCAATGAATGATGCTTCTAGCAACAAATCAAAATTAGATAGAAAGAAACAAAGGTTTGGCCCAATCCTTTATAATGAGGTGAAAAATGTGGCAAAACCAAAAGAGATGTTAAGTCAGACTGACCCTGAGCAGATCCTGGAGTGCATTGAAAGGACCTCGTCTTTCTCTGTAGTCGACAATGTTTGCCGCCAACTCCTGAGTAACGCCGCGTAGAGTCATCAGAGAGAAGACGTTGGCATTGTTGATGTCAACGGGTGGCGGGGGACGCGGAGATCCTTCACTGCTGGCTAGGCTGTCCATAGACTGGGCCCGAGAAGACTGGTTACTGCTGACAGAGTAGGACTTGTTTAAGAACTGGTATATATTGTATTATACAGAAATCAAATGCCTTTTTTACTTTTTTAATTGACAAATTAGTAAAAACATTAGAAAATAAAAATGAAACTTTGTATTGTGAGGAAACATGATCATGTAAAGTAGAGTTTAGGTGATTAAACCTCTCAAAGAAAGGTAATTAAACCTTCCTCCCAAGATTGGCATTCTCTCTAGATTTGTCAAAGAATCATTACAAACAAACCATTGTCATCTACTAACACCAAGACACGCCCGCGGTTTGCATGTGACGCACTATGAGCCCAAGAGGTAATAGCATCCCCTACACCCCTCCTTGCAGTGGGATTTTCACCCCCAACAAATCAGAAAATTTCATGCCCCTCTGGGCCTGGGCCCATTTAATAAAACCAAGAATCACAACGGTAAAATTACAGATAACAGATCAAAAGTCTTTCATTCAGTTATTACTTCACTGAAGACCATTTGATCAGCCTAAAGTGAACCCATAGATGCGTCTCGTAATTCGTATCCCTGTAGTTGGATATGTCTGGAATAATTTGTTATAATTTGTTGTTGTTGTAATAAATGCTGCTGAAAATCCCAAAATTTGAACAGCCGGTCTTAAATTTTCTAGTGGTTCCAGGTTGACCATGGATTAAGTTTTTTTAGAAATAGGTGATTATGGTGTACATTAAAACTCCTCCACAGCTTCAGGTTATGCCTTAAGTTGTTCAACTCTGCCAGGGTAAATGTTTTGGTCGCTGATGTTCCACCAAAATGATCCATTCTTCACACAACATAGAGAGCAGTACTGATTTTGCTGCTAATGTAGGTAACTGTTTATTAGTCTTTTGTCCACGATTTCATCGAGAGTAAAATGCAATAGCTATTTATAGTTGGGAGTCCAGCCTATCTTGTGGCATTGAACAAAAAATTGCATATTTGAGAGTAATAATTAAATTGGTGCAAACTTTTAGAACACAATGTTTGAAATGAAAATAAAATTAATCTACTAGAAATTAATAACTATAAAAAATTACTTAGCAAAAGAAGCTTACAAAAACCCTCTTGACAAGCAAACCAAATATTATTTGTGGTTGTATTTCCTGTTAAAGATAAAAATAAACTTGATAGTTAAAAATAAACTTGAAACAAGAACAAGGTTCCGAAACAATGTACAGTTCACTGGTCAATACTCCAGTCAATAACCTGCAGAGTGCAGACCTTGATCAATTATGTACTTCATCCATTGTTGGGACAGCCTCATGACATGCTCTTAAATAACTCATGTTGTTATTGTTACAACTTAAACTGAGGTTCAAGGACTCGTGGTAGAGGAGGAAATAAAAATCTAGGTAACCTAGCTTGTTATTTAACATATGTAAATTTGTATGTTGAAATTAATCCATGGGATTGAAAACAATGGTAAAACATTTTAAAATGTACTTTTACTGTAAATGACGAAAGACATAGCTCATCTGTGTTCACCTTTGTTTTTAGTGTTAAGAATTAATAAAAAAAAACAATCTAACCACAAACTGCCCAACCAATTTAATTTTTTACTAAATTTTCATTCAATGTTGCCGTACATCACCAATTCAGCGATAAATGTGTCAGTGTCCTAAAATCACACTCGGGACTGTAGACTAAACTGGAAATTCCATTCAAAAAACTTGTAGCTAGTTTTAGATTAAAAATTAACGTAATTGATTGAAGTTACCGAAAGAGTGAGCTGATATAAATTACTGATTTCTCTCGAATACGGAAAATTTTCAAGCCTAAAATGAAAGGACTACTTATTGTAAACCCCATCATATCTCTTATGTTGCATCAAGTGTCATTGTACCAAAAAATAACGAGGTATACTTTGTAAGAGGCGTATTAAACTTAAATTTATTTGAATACAAAATTGGCTACACCTGGCCCATAAATATGGGATGTATAAGTTACTCCAAAAGTCAATGCTCCTACCTATTTGTTGTGGAGCGAGCTGGTCCAGTGGTAGAGCAGAGATTTTATCTAAAAATGCCGCAACTTTCTAAGTCTAGCCTGAAGTATGCATGTATAAATGAGTCCGGGTTAGAGCTGAGGATGAGAACCTACCTGTTGGACTTCCTACGATGTACACAGATCTCAGGTCGGATAGTTCCGAGTTTCTCGGCTCCGACACCAGACACCAACGCCAAGTCCTCCACCTTGTTAAAGCGACCGATGGCTTGCCGATACTCGACAATGTTCTGTGCGATCGCGCGAGTCACACCAGGTAGAGTCATCAGCTCCTCGGCCGTCGCGTTGTTCAAGTTGAGTTGGTCACCCTGTAAAAAATAGAAACCTTAAGGCGTTTGATTTAGGAAATACAACTGTTTGTGTCCAAAGTTCACAAAATGTGGACTAACATAAAGTTAGTAAATGGAATATAAGTAACAAAAATACTTGTTTTTAAAAGTAACCCAGAGGAGTATCTTGTTCAGTGTGCCTTTATTCATATGTGGAATTTTAGAATACAAACTACAGGTCTTACAGATTTGAGATGTTATAAAGTTTAACTACAGTTATAGTTTTGGATATCACATGGCAAACTAAGAGATCCGTGTCCTAAGCCGGATATTGTTCACCTGACAGCTAGTCCTTTTATTACTGCCCCTCAACTGAGGTCACACAAAAGGGAGTCAAGCAATTATTTTTGTTTTAATATATAAACACAAATAAAACAATGCAATATTAGGGTTTATCTAAAATGCCCTGTTAATATCTATTACTTATTTAATACGCAAGCAGATTTTTTGTGACAATTACTCCTCCGTAACTACTGAACCGATTGACATGTTTTTCGTGTCATTGGAAAGAGCGTAACGTGAAGTTGTGCAGGAAACTTTCTATTTAGGGAAATAATGAGAGAGTGAGGCCCTGGGGTCCTTTAAAGTTTCGTATTTCTCCATAAGATTAAGATGGGAAACAAACATTGTTATTAAACTCCAGCTGTTGTCAGAAATTAAAATGTTAATTGTAAAATTAAGACATATAGGTTATGCAGAAAATCAGGTAATGGTCTTTTGGTGCTATTAAAATAAAGACTGAAATTTGTAAACGTACTGGCAACAATATGTGATACCATGCAGCTAGCATGGACAACCTATTGCGGCTGTAAGTGGGAAACATTTGTACAATACACTAAAAGCCAGATCAGCTTTTGAAAAATGATAAAACATTTAAAAGAAATGTTGATTATATTGAACTGTTAAGTATATTGTGAGTATTATCATTATTTACGTAATCTTAGAGCTGACTCCTTTTATTTAAAATCATTGGAATTTATGACTTATATTTGTTCTTAAATAAGTTATTTGTTTTTAAATAACTCTTTTACTTCTTTGTGATTGCTCGATTTCGAGCAACATGTACACTAGTTATACTAAATTTCACAGAAATCGTCCAATGTTTACATATGTTTATTCACAAGATAAAAAAGTTACAAGCCTGAAAACCATCCCCCGATTTGACATTAAGGCTTTTCACATCGTCGAAGTTGCCATTTTATTGATGAAAAATGTGTGAAATATATTCACATGGTAAAGAAGGTAATTAATAAACAAGGTGACATTTTTTCCCATTACAAGTTTCAGAATTTGCATGCACGCATATGGTAATGGTATTGTCTGCAGCTCATGAAAATTTTTAACTCATGTGAACCAACTGTAGGTACTGAATTAAATACAGCTGGAACTGACTACTTAATCCTCAAACGAGGGACAGGCCCAAAGCTAGTATGTTATAATTAATTATCAACAAATGCTGTTTAGGATTAGGTTATTTTTGGATTGTGTTAGCCTAGGTGATAAAATTGTGCCAAAACTTTAAACCTTCAAATTAATTGTTTATAGTTACATGTATTATATACAAATTATATATTGAAAGTGAAATAAACAGAAAAGGTCCTAAAATTAATACAAATATATCCCTAAATTCAATTAATATCAACAAAAAATTTAAAATTTTTGATATTTTTGTAGCACGCTAACTTATTTAGAAAAAAAACATTTGTAACGGTTCTAACTGAAAGCTTCATTTAATGAATCACTTATGAACTAATTTAGTTAACAACACATGGTCATTATGTAATGGACTAAATGAATTTACAACGGTAAACTCGTTAATTATTGCTCAAGGCATTACATGTTTCCCAAGAGCTTTTATTCTGGAACAAGAAAACTTTTGAAAATTTTAGTTACAGTACAGTAAAAACTCACTAAATCGACAATTTGTGGGCCTTGGGAGTTTGGGGGTTTTTGAGTTAACTAGAACATTGAAATGTTTAATGGGTTTTAATAAATTAATAAATAACAGACTAATTTTTACATATATGTTTATTACTTACACAAGTATTTTTTAGTAAACAATCTTCAAAGAAATGTTAAATATTCAACAATTAAAACTAAGAGTTCTAAAAAATTACATTTTTGTGTGGCCTTTCAGCTGTTGACTGTCGAGTTACACAAACTGTCGAGTTAAAGAGGTTTTAAATAAACTTAACATAAACTTTTTAGTGGGTTACACCAAGAAAACCAAATTCTGCACACCTCTATGGCATAAAAGTTCACTTTTTTGTTGGTATTAAATTTTGTCCGAAAACCCAAAATGTGTTTTTTGGGGGCAGCTCAAACATTTTTAACGTAGAGACTCATCAAGTGACACCTCATTTTAAAAGCAATTAGTTTAAAGAATATCGGCGAAAACCAGGGGTCTCTATATCAACCCAGGACAAAATGGCGGCAGTTTTTAGAACATCAACCTCAGAGACCCCACTAAAAATATACATTAATATCCCCTAATAACATTTTATCAAGTTGTACCATCCATCACTTCATAAGAAAAACAGTGTACTTTTTAGTTGGTATCACAATTTAAGAATCCAAAATTAAGCTTATTGGGGCAGCTCAAAGGGTTAAAACGGTTAACACGTTCACTGTGTTACAAGATCCCAAGGTCTTGTATCGTATCTAGCCCGCTGTGCGGACCGGACCCATAATTTGGCTTTTTCGATATTTCTGTGTACGTACAGTTAATCGAAAAGAAATTAAACTTGTACATACAGAATGCATTTTTATTTATGAAACAACTAGTTAACATAAAATGAACAAGATAAATAGATCTCATAACGCACTGAAGTAAAAAACTTTTCCTTAATTACGATAGCCTACGGGTACCTTGGATCTCGTATGAAAAATAATTGCTCCACAGGAGGCTAATGGGGTGATTAGTAACATGGCAACTTGTTGAATGTGTGGATGAAAGGAGGAAACCCCAAAAGAGAACAGAAGAACAAAAAGAGAAAAATAATGATGTTTTTATATGTTGTTATCTTCAAGAGTTATCTAATGTTTTATAGGTTTGTGAAATAATTGTTTTAAACAACGAGAACATAAATTTATAATAATTATCAACGTGCTTCTCTTCTGAAACAGTACTACCGGATGGATGTGAAATAAAAGGTCAATGACCTCGCATTTTTCCAACTTGGTCTTATAAGACCGTTAGCTGGGTCAATTACCTCAAATATCATGATTGCGTAATGTTGTATTTTGAGGTAAAAGTGCAAATCATGGCATAAATTTAAATTAGATCATCTCCTGGTCTCTAGCATTTCATATAAAATCAATGCTAAATAATTGTGGTTAACTCAAATTAAGATTGTTGATGATTCAATGTTTCTAGGCTACCTACATGGAAAAAGACAATCAAAAGTCAAACCGGGCTAGGGATTCCCAAAAACAATTTTGTATCACTGTTCTGCGATTGGAATCTCCCTAGCCAGCCCTTTAGGGTTGTGGTGCAAGTCAAAAAATATAGCTTCAAATAAATCATTGGACGTCGTGCAATGCTTCTATGTGTCTTGCTCTATATGTATAAAAAATGTAAAAATAAAAATAAATTATTCACTTAGCAAATACAAAATGATATATTTTAAAATCAAAACAACTAATAAAACATAACTTAGTAAGTTACTGTAGCTCTTTACCTTAACGTCTGAATCTACATAGTTGAAAGTTGCACTGAGAGACTGAGTCGTTCTTGATCGCCTTGGGAAAGGGGATCGTAGAGATCTTCGAATTGACTTTCTTCTCCCAGGAAATGATGAGCTGTGGTTTTGCCCCATATCTAAAAATATTGTTACAAATTAAGCTTAATATTGGCAGAAAGCTAACTCTAGACCACCAAGCCAATGGTATTAACATTTAGGCCTAGACTATTAAGTGTTTTTTTTCTGGGTAGACTAAGAAATAAAATATAACCTTCAGCATTCCTATCCAGACAATAGCCTATAACTTTGTAATGACTTGATAGTTAACTCAAATCGAACTGGCGGTTGATTAATAACAGCTGGTCTATTTAAAAACATTACCTCGACCCTCCAGTTCTATTTGACTAGTCATAGCCTACTATAGCCTAGTCATAAATTGATGTGATCATTTTTTTGTAAGATTACGAAGGAGCTGGATACTTTATACTTAGGTACGGCTGCAGTTCTGTATAGAGCCTACAATATATTATCGGATGAATATCAAAACTTACAAAAAGAAATACCGGTAACCAAAACATACATTAAATTCACGATAAAAATATTAAAAAATATAAACAAACCTAGGACTTATTGTTGTTCTGATGCTTAGGCCTAATTGATTTTGAGGATTTATGGTATCTAAATATTACCAGGTTTTCTCCTTATATGCTGGTCTTCATCTCGTCTCCACATTAGCCTATTTCAAATTTAGGCCTAGCTTGTTTTGGAATCAAACATTTTTCTTTAAGAAAATCAACACAATTTCCAATAAGTTATTTGACGTAGTCTATTGTGGAAACTAATGGCCGGATGACATCTTTGAATCGGGTACAGTTTCTTAACTGGGCTACCCTAATATCAATTGAAACTATCGAATTGAAAATATTTATTAATAAGATAGAGAATCAATATTTTTAAATATCTATTATTAATATGTCCACCATCATAACCTAACCTAACCAACCAAACTTGCTGATGGTGAAAAAATCGCATGAAGGTTTTACTAATCGAATCGATAGTTTCAATCGATATTAGCGTAGCCCAGTTAAGAAACTGTACCCTTTGGAATCTAGCATAATCATAGGACTTAGCAAAAAATACACTTCTGTGAAGCTGTAGCTGTAGCTTAATAGCCCACATAAGCAACCAACAGGTTTAGGCCTAGTATGTGATAAATAGACTATTAAACAACTTAGGCCTAAATTATTGAAATTGTGCAATCAGGCCTACCTGTTAATTGGGTTTCGCCAATATCAGTTCATAACCGTCTACAAAAAACATATCATAAATCTAAGACGAAGACGAAGATATACACAGTGTACCAAATATATGTCAAATCATTGCGGCAATGTTTATCTGTTACTACTGTTACTGTTTATCAATGTCAAGTGAACTATTAAGTAGTGCAAGTGTCAATATTGTCATTATTATGATGTCATTTTTTGTTCCGGTGTCCCAATTCCAACTTTAGGCTTTGAAATCAGCTGATCAGCTGAACCATAAGCACAAGCAGCTGTTTCATGTCGATAGGGATAGGAACCACTGACTACTGAGGGCCGAGGGGTCTGACTTAGGGGAGGTACGAATGAGGCATTAGTTCAAAATTCCTCCGTGAACAGCGCTGTAGTAGAGAGCACTTTGGCAATGAAGGTTTACTAATACTAATCGCAAAAATAGTTCTGTTCTAAAATAAAATTATAAATGCCTCAAATTCAATTTTATAATTTTTTAAATATAAAATTAAACTATCATAACCTAACCGAACTAACCAAACTTGCTGATAATGAAATAATATAACAAATGATTAAAAATGAAAAAATAATTCTGTTTACCTATTAAATAAAACTAGAAATCGCTAAATTAAAATTTTATAATGACTTATAATAAAATTAAACTGTCATAACCGAACCAAACCAACCAAACTTGCTGATAATGAAAAAATCTTGGACAAAAAGTTAGTGCTACCAGCGGGATTCGAACCTGGGACCTTCAGCATATCAGCCCGGCACGCTGACCACTAGACCACCGAGGCCCATGGCCACTAACCGTTTTGTTACGGTAATGGCATTCCTTCAGCTAATAAGAAGTCCACAGCTGTCATCGTAGCCTCTTCTATACCTCCCCTGAGTAAATACCACCACTGAGCTATAACCAGTGATAGGAACAGGAACGTAGGGTGGGTGGATTTCCACCATGATAGGAAGGAGCAGCCAATCTTATAAAATAACCACCTTGTTTACGTTTAACCATTGATTTTACCATAGCATATTGTATCAATGGTTCTTAGTAATAACAATGTTAATAGGATATTTTACTAAAAAAAGGAGGATTATTTATGCTTGGAGGATATCTTAAAAAAGAGTGCATTATTATTATTATAAGCAGGTGTATTATTATTAAAAAAGTTGGATAATTTGAGTTGGGTAATTATTATGCAGAGCCGGGAGAGCTCTGCCCCCACGGCCGCCTTTAACTTGACTCCAGGCCGCGGCCTTCGAAGTGACAACGTCGTAACTGTGCTCTCTGGTCGCAACGCAAGTAGGGTTGTAACAGCTGTTTTGTTTGGAAGCATCTAATGGTATTTGTATATTACGAAAACTTGGTTACCGGACTATGAAAATATTGAGTGTCTGCTCCACGGGTAATTCCTACAGATCTCTCCAAGTAAGGTGTGGAAAGCCATGGTGAAGCTTATGTTCCTAATGTGGTGTTTGTAATGAATGTACACCCTTAGAGATCATTGCGGTCCTGAAAGGTGTGGGGGGGGGGGTGCAATGGTAACCATTCCCCCCTTTACTATGCTCAGATAGAATCTATCAACATAGGGCCTAAGTATATTTTTAAACAGGTTTTAAAGATAAATTGTGACTTTGGACACCAAAATCCATTATTTTAAGGCAACCTAATGGAGGAGAGCCTTTTTCCAACACTTCTAGAGCAAGATCTAACTTTGGCTTTCCTGAAGAGTATTACTTCTGGAGTGATCATGCAGGAAGGAAACCCTATTTGATCCCTTTTAATATCTAAATCCAAACAGTGCCCCTCAGGGAAATCCACCCACTATTTCTCGTCACATATTTTCCTTAAACAGAGAAGTATCGAGAACTACTTACAACAAGAGTATGCAGTGGCGGATCTAGAACAGTGACAAGGGGGGGGCGAACCGGGGGGTCTGGGGGGTGTGGAATACCCCCCAGAGAAAGCGGGGGGTTCGGGGGTCCCCCCCGAAAAAATTTTGTGATATAAGTGTCCAAAATGACGGCTTTTAGACCATTTCTTTGTCCAAAGTTTAGTAAACAAATATTCAAATAGCCATTCAACTTTCCTTGAGAACGGCAGTTTAAAACAACCATCAACTTGTTTTCCTAATATTATTTTCATGATTATTTAATGGAATAATTTTATAACGTGAAGTACAACGCAAACACTTGCACTAACTTTAAAATTCTTGTCACTACGAGTACTACGACAACGGACAACGGTAATATTTCGCGGGTAAAAAGAGCGGGAGTCAAGCCGTCAGGCAGTAGGAGTAGAGAGGGCGTGACGTACTGGCTGCGGGGTGTGGGGGGAGAGGTTGGCCAGGGCCAGTGCAGCCAACTGTCAGGCGTTGCGATTGCGAAAGTGGAATCCCTACTCTCATTATTTACCATTCTGAATTCATAGCTTCAGTTACCTTAAACGTAGTTTTGTAAACAATCCTCTACTTGTAATCCCCTAAATAGATGACGAGGAATTTAGTGTGACATAGACAAATTATTATACGCAATGTGTATATTGTACCGTTGTAAAAAAAAAAAAAAAACCCCGAGGGGGGGCGACCGCCCCCTTCGCCCCCCCCCTGGATCCGCCACTGAGAGTATGTCACTTACCTTCAGTGAACAATGTGCGAAAGGTGTGGGTGAATCAAAAATCAAACCTTGAGATTCAAAATCAAATATAATGGAATAGGCCTACACATATTTTCCTCCAAAATAATACACAACTGGTTTAAGGGTACAGTTGAAGTGAATAAAGCTACTAAATTTACAATACACTGTAAATAAGTTGATTTTAGATCAACAATCTATTAAAAGAATTTGTTGGATTTTTGTATTCAGCAAATCGACCCCTAAATATTTATTTTTTATAGGCATATTGGGTATCAATTTAAAGGTGTCTTATCCTCTAGACTAGATGTGCCTTTTTCGGGTTTAGATCCCGTGAAAGCCCTTCGACCTATAGGCTTTTAAAATGTCAGAGTTTGTACTGAATTCTGTGTTGTCAATCATTATTATCTATAAGTATAAAAGAGGATGTTTATATATATATATATATATATATACTAGAGGTTCTACCCACGAATTCATGGGTAAACAGAAGCCTAAATTAATTTAATCAACTTTGACCTTCCCTATTTCATTTAAAGGGCCCAAGTTCGAGAAATTGTCATCTGAAAGGATGTTAAAGGCAGTGGAACCTTCATACCTTACGTCTAAGGTGGCCGAGGTGGGTACGGTTGTATCTGAACTCGCCGCTCTCTTTCACGACGTCTTTAATACTTTACTTAAATACTTTTCAATGAATTGGCGACCTGTTAAAGATCGGTGATAACCTCTTGGAACGAACAACATACATGGTTTGTTAATCTCATATTCATCGTGTTTCGAACACCTTTAATCACTCACTTGAATCAAACAGCTAGAAATAGTTTCACTGTCCATTCACCGTACCTCCTTTAAGAACATAAAAGTAAATAAAAAAATAAGTAAACAAAAATGTAAACAAACAAACTATATTGCCAATTGCATTGGCCAGCTGTTGTTCACTAAATTAATCGAATAATGTTAACTTCCAAAACATGCAAGGCGTAGCCCTTTGGAAATCAGCCTGTGGGGCAGAGCCCTTAGGGAATTCGTCCATATCAATACTTTTCAGCAAATCTACACACTCTAAGCTTCATTTTGATATGCCATATGCCTATATTTTTATATTGTAAATGGCCTTAAGCGTTTACATAAAATTTGATTGTATCACTTTAATAATATAATAGACTAGCTGTGTTCTACGCACGGGGATCTTATTGTAGTCAGCTATTGAAACCTTTTTTATTAAGAACAGATTTTGGTTTGCATATTTTCAGATATGCTGGCAAAACTATTATATATAAACCTTCGCAAATACAGTATCTGACAGTTTCAAGCAAAAACAAATGCTTCGAAATTAAATGTAACCTGGGTCGTGTTGGTCCATATGTTAAATCCAATGATTAAACTAAAAAATGCTTTATAGATCTTTGAGGCATAGCCCTAATGTAGGCCTATAATTGAAAGTTACCTTCCACAATGGTTAAAAGTATTTAAAGTACTACCTCAACCTCCCAATTTAACACTTTATTCGTGTTGACAATTTTCATTATAAAGGTACTTTTGTCCTTTTCGTGAAACACAGAGAAATAAGGACATTAATGCTTTACTAACAGACATACACACAAAAATACAGAACTTAATTAGGGGATTTGCTACGCGTTAAGCATAACAAAGTACTTGCAAAATTAGTATCTGAAATATTATGTTAATGTCATCAAATTTCATCATAACAATGTATATTTGCTTGGACCGATGATGGCCCGAAATGACGGCTTACTATATGAAATGAAGTACTATAGACGATTAGTAATTTATAGTAAATATTACCAAAATAGGCCACGAACTATTGATACATAAACAACGTAAAGCGTTTAAACAATTCATTATGGTTTGCTGAATAAATGTTTTACTAAAATGCGTTATCGTTTTCTTAGCATAAACTAACATTTTGGAATCAAGAAAGAAAAAGCCAAAATTGTACAGTTAAGACATCAATCAAATTGGAGTGTAGGAGCGCTGGCGACCCGGCTTATCGAACTCGTAAATTAAGGGGTCATTAGAGTGTCGAGGCGAGTGGAGAAGACTACCCGACATAAGCCTATTCTCCCCAACAGTACTATACCGGGTATTTCGCTGGGAGAAAGGGGTGGTCGAGTAAAGAGGGGTGGAAGAAGGAGAGAGAGGGTGAATGTGAGCTGTGGCGAGAGGAGAAGAACACGAGAGCGTGGCCGTGTGTTGTATGCACTACAAGTAGATGCAAAGTAGTTTCTAAACAGAAAACAGAGCTTCCAAGAAAGTATCTATTGATTGGCGTTTGAAAGTTAATAATAATGCTAAAATTATAGATCTTTTTTTTGTTATATAATTTTAAAAATATATGTGTAGCCTATGAAGCGTATATATACAAAAATATTCTTACCTACAGTTGGATTTTTTAGCTAGAAGCAGTTAAGG